GTCCCACTATCATGCTCAGCCTTCATTTGGGTTTCAGTAATTCCTCTCGGTTACATTGCCCTTGATCAAGCCCTACCAGGCCTCTTACACCCTCCCCGCCATCGAGTCTGAATCACTTGTTGTTCCCTTGTCCTTGAGTTTGTTAACACTACTTCCTTTCCCCCACCTCCTCTTCTCCCATGTCCCCCTGAAACCGTTGGTCTCATTATTTTCTCCTCTGGATTGTTTATCCTGCCTATCTTATCTAGATAGACCTGCAGAGATAATAATATACACAAAAACAAGACAGAGCAAAACAAAGCAACAAAACAACAAAATCACACACAAAAAGAAAAGCCTGTAAATAGTTCAAGGTCTGTTTCTTTTCAAGTTGAGTCTGATGAAGTGCCACGCCCTGGCCCCAAAGTCTACTATTGGTTCTCCTTTGGGACTTCCTTGCTCTGCTCCCTTTGCTGTTCTGTTGCATGCCATTAGTGTTTTCCTCGGTGTGGTGGGGTCAGATTGGACACAATTCCAAAACTGTGTCTCTAGTGTTGTCTCCTGTAAGGCTATGGGTCAGTGAGGGATGTCGTGTCTCCTAGTGGGGCCGGCCATATGGTCCTCTCTGTGCATTGGTTGCTTTGAGCGGTGATATCATCCTGTAGGCTTGGTGGGCCAGGATGTGCTCCACTCGCTCTTCCTCCCCCTTCATTTGCTCCCGTGTGCTCTGATCACCATTAAGTATCATATTTTTTTTTGCAAATGATCTTTGTCATCTTGTGGTAGTTCCCTTCTATTCCTACTTTCCCAAGGGTTTGTTTGTTTAAATCAGGAATGGATGTTTGATTTTGCCAATTGTTTTTATTGATATAGACTCAGACTGATTAGATGAAATTTTATCCTTAGTTTATTAATGTTGTAGATTACATGATTTGGTCATTGAATATTATAACAACCCATATTCTTAGGATAAAATTGACTTGGTTATTATGTATTAAAATAATGTTGGATTTAATTTGCTAAAATGTTATTTAGAATTTATACATCTATGATTTTGTAAACAAATTTTGTGTTCAGCTTTGGGGTCAGGATAATTCCAATCTCATAGGATGAGTTAGAATATATTCTCCTGTCTTCAAATTTGGTAAATATTTTTGTAGAAAATATTTTTTCTTAAGTGTGTGATAGAACCTACCAATGAAGTGCCAGTCATACAGAGTTTTCTTTTTTTGAAATATTTTAACTACAATTTAACTTTATTTAATACACATAGGGTTACTATTTATTTTTTAAAGGGCTACAGAAATTTGTGTCTCAAATAGTTTTGTCTCCCCATTTCATGTTATTGAATGTATCAACATAAAATTATTCATAATACTTCCACATATTATTTTAATATGCATGGAAACTATAGTGATGTTACAGTTACATTCCTGATATTGGTAATTTGTGCCATTTCTGTTTTTTATTGATCAATTTAGCTAGAAGTTAATCAGTGTTACTGGTCTTCTGAGAGAATCAACTTCTGGTCATTAATTTTCCTCAGTGATTTTATTTACTAGTTTCTATTTTATATGTTTTCATTGATTTCTTCTTTTAATTTCCTTACTTTAATTAAATGAGTCTTATTTCCTTTTATTATGGCAGTTAAATATTGGCATTGTTTCTTATAGATTTACTCCTAAGAATTCCTTTCTGGTATCTCATAAATATTGGTATTCTTTTATTTTACTTCAGTTTCAAATATCTTCTATTTTTCTTGAGACTTCCTCTTTTTCCATGGATAATTTCAAAGTGTGCATTGAATTTTAAACTATTTTTCTATATTGGATATTGTACCATGTATGCTTGAAAATCTTTTCATTCTGCTGTTGTTGGGCTGAGTGTGTTACAAATATGAAAAATTCAATTGGTTAATGTCATGACTTCCAAAGTATTTCTAAGGATCATCTCCATCTAAATCAGCCAAGTTCAAGAGGATGAAGATAAAGACTCGGAAGGTTTTTGTGACATCACTTCCACCTAAATTCCATTGGTTAGAACTCAGTCACATGGCTTCACTTAAAGGTATGGAAAGCTAGGAAATGTAGTCTAGCTTTTTGCCTGGCAAGAAAAATTGGACAGACAGCAATCTCTTTTTATTCTCTGGAAGAGCTTGTATAAGATAAGAAATACTTGAATCATGGGTATATAGTAGAAATTGTAAAGTTATTGGGACCTGCTTTTTTCTTTGGGGGGAAATATGTAACTACTGATTCAATTTAATGAATACCTGTTTGTTTAAGTTTTCTACTACTTCTCGAGCCATTTTAGATATGTATCATTTTGTATAAAATATATTGACAAATATCTGTTAAAGGTGTTCTCTAATTTTAATCTCTGCTGTATCTATAATTATTTTATTCATCTCTAATATTGTTTATGTGTGTCCTATATTATTTCAGCTTTTTTACTGTGATAAATATGTGTGCCAAATAATTTGTCTTTTCAGTATTCTTATGTGTACAATTCAGTGACATTAGTTATATTTATCACTGTTCAACCATTATTATATTTATCACACTGCTAAACCATTACTATTCTCCAGTTTCAAGATATCCCATTACTTTGAAAAGAAGCTCACTGTACCCTAAGCAATGACTCTCCTTTTTCCTTTTCTCTGACCATGCTCTGGTAACCACTAATAAATATTGGTCTCTGTATACTTGCCTGGAGTAAGAAAAACAAAAAGGAAAAACATTCTCAGCATATCTTACACTGAAAGAACTCAAAAAAAAAAAATTCAAGCCTGAACTGTAGTATTGAAAATTCTATGGGCAAAATCTTGAATGATGCCAGAAGAATTAAACAAGATGGAAAGAATACACAATCACTATATCAAAGAGAACGAGTGGCTATTCAACCATTTCAGGAGGTAGCATATGAGCAAGAACCAGTGGTGCTGAAAGAAAAAGTTCAAAGTTCACTGAAAGCATTAGCCAAAAACAAGGCGTAGGATTGATGGAATATCAGCTAGAAGGCTTCAACAAGCTGATGAAGCACTGGAAGTACTCACTTGGCCATGCCAGGAAATTTGGAAGTCAGCTACTTATCCAACTGACTGGAAGAGATCCATATGTGTACCCATCCCAAAGAAAGGTAAACCAACAGAATGCTCAAATTATAGAATAACATCATAGTTATGATATACACACAACTAAAACATTTCTGAAGATCATCCAACAAGGGTTGCAGCAGTCCATTGACAAGGAGCTGCCAGAGGTTCAGGCCAGAATCTGAGGAGGACATGAAAATAAGGGATATCATTGCTGATGTCAGATGGATCTTGGCTGAAACCAGAGAATACCAGAAAGATGTTTCCAACTCTAACCAAACTCACTGTCATCGAGGCAATGCTGACTCATAGTGATCCTATAGGACACGGTAGAATGGCCTCCTGAGTTTCTGAGACTGGGATTATTTAGGGGAGAAGAGTGCCTGGTCTTCCTTTCACAGAGTAGCTGGTGATTTTGAATTGCTGACCTTGCCATTAACAGCCCAACAGGTAACCACTATGCAACCCGAACTCGTTAGAAAGACGCCTGCTTGTGTTTTATCGAAACCATGCCAAGACATTCTACTGTGTAGATCATAACTATGGGTAGCCTGGAGAATAATGGGAATTCCAGAACATGGCATTGTCCTCATGCAGAACTTGTACATGGATCAAGATGCAGTTGTGGGAACAAAACAAGGGACTACTGCATGGCTTAAAAGCAGGAAATGTATGCGACAGGGTTGTATCCTCTCACCATACTTATTGAATCTTTATGCAGATCAAATAATCAGAAAATCTAGATTATATGAGAATGTAGCATCAGCATCAGAAGACGGCTTATTAACAACCCGGAATGCTGAAAGTAAGGAGAATTGGAAGCACTTGCTGATGCAGCCTTCAGTATGGATTACAATTCGATGTAAATAAAACCAAAATCCTCACTACTATTTTCTTATACCAACCAATCAGTGGTTTTCTGCTGAGGGTATTTTTGTCACCTATTTGGTAATGTCTGGAGACCTATTTAATTGTTACAACTAAATGACTAAGAAAGAAAGTGCTGTTTTGATCTTGTGGGAAAAGACCACGATGCTGCTTAAACATCCTACAGAGCATAAGACAATCCTACACAACAAGGAATTATCTACTCCAAGTATCAATCATTCTAAGTGATTAAAGAAGAACTATAAATGTTTCATATATAACATAATTCTAACTTATTTAACTGATTTACAATTTTGAACATTTTGGTTAATTTCACTTTTTTATTATAAATATTAATTTGATAAATAGCCTTATATATCTTGTTAATTCCTCAATGTAGACATTTCTGCATCCAAAGAAAACTTAAGATTTGAAAGGCATCACCTTTGAGAAAATGGTATAGAGACTATATTTGACCTCCTCTGACTATGTAAGAGGGGAGAATCCAGTTCCACATATGTTCAAGGATGGCTATGACACAAAAGTTAGACATTTATCTACTTTCCATCCTTTCTAACCCATTCTGACACCAGCTGTCCTTCCCATAGCAACTCTACTTACCTGCTGGGCTTGATAATCCATTGGAATGGCCACACAGAACTCATACACAATACGTGTGATTACGGGGTTTATTAGGGAAGTTAACAGATTGCTGCAAGTCAGGATTAGAAAATACCAAGGATACAGTCCTTATGCCCACATGCCTCTTCTCAGCCATGCCTATAGGTATGTTTCTCTGGTCCGCACCCTATGAGCCCCACAATCCCTTGACATCTCTTTTGCTCAGGCAAATGTTAAACATGCCTTTAGAACTGATAAATGGCCAAAGGGTATCCCACTCTGCAAGCCAGCTGCCAAAGGCACTCGGTTTTACTTGTTCTGTGGGTTAAGAAGCCTGCGGTGGTGCCTCACAGTCTTGGTGCCACTCCTCTGTTCTGTCTCACGGTCTCAGTGCTGTGGCCTCTAGTGCCTCTCTGACTTCCGGCAGAGATGTGGCATTCACTAGTGGCTCATCTTTCTTGATGGTCACGGGATTCTCTGCTCCTGCTTCTGAGATGCCTCCCTTTTATACATAGCAGAATGGGGAAATGAACAATCCCTGAGTTAGTCTTCTACGTCCTATTTGCATGAGCTCACCTGTCATTTGGTGGAAGTTACAAAACCTATGGATAGAAGAGCCATGCCAATAATTTAATGTCACTGAAATCTCATAAGCTGGAAATGATTTAGGAAAAAAAGGAATGCATAGAAACAGCAAAAATCTTTATTGTGACATGTCCTTAGTGTACTTTGATAAAACGTTTACCCCCGAAACTCTTTAAAAACATAGGCTTCTATGTTGTTGTGAAGCTCTTCGCATTCTATATAACCTTGTGTGAAAGTTTCCCATATCTTGTTTTATGCTTAGGTAGCAGATTTCAGAATACTAATGAAGGTTTGACCAACCGGACTGACTATAATTACCTCATATTTTCTTTAGTCATCCTTCTTTTGAACGTGTACTAATATTGCTTGGTAACGTGGGTCGAAAGAAGACATGACACAGAGAGCGGGCTTCCATTTGCTGTGCAGCCCTACTTCACTTACTCCTCCTACCTCGGCGTCAGTTACATTCTCTGTAAACTGAGAGGGTTATACTCCGCAACTTTGCAGGCTTTTCCTGTGATCAGACCTGCTATTATTTTATTCTGTTTTTCAGTTAGCTTTTACTATGCTTTCTTACTGCTCCTGAGATGAAAGAAAACAAACCTTTCAAAGATTTCTAGGATCTTAAGAATTCCTCACGTTGGTTATTTTGTTACCCTAATCTGCCTCCTAAGATAATAAATTCTTCAAATGAAAGGTGTCTTAGGTTAGAGGACTTTAAGGAATGATGTTGTGGGAAATGGTAAAAATAAAAATCCAAAGCTGGACTGGGAAGAGAGAAAACAAGCTAGGGGGGAAAAAAAGGAGATGGCTGAAGCTGTAAAAACAAACACAATATAGGTCTCAGATCTGGTGGGTCAGAGAAGTGTGCCCGAGGCCGTAATCAGCAGGAGGCCCTGTGTAGTTCTCTAACTCACGGTCTCAAAGTTCATTAGAACTGCATAGGACTAGACTTAAGGTCTCCAACCCTCCTGATTAATGCCTTAATGGTACACCAGGTTATAGAATTTGAAATATTATATTGTTTATTTTTACCTAGAGTTGAAAATACATGCATGAAATATTCTTTTATAATTTATTTGTATAGGTTTCTTTCACTACCTAACCTATTACCTGGCTGCTGGTGCCGTGGCTTTGGGAATGGGTTTCTTTGCTTTGGCATCAGCTTTGTGGTTCCTGATTTGCAAGCGAAGGTAGGATTTATCAAATCGTTTAACTTGTTTCTTTTTCCTTTTATAAGCTCAAGGAAAGATTTTTTCAAATGATATTAAACTTAAATAACTATATGAATACTAATCCTGTAATTTGGGATTCTAGCTACAGGCCCTTTGGTGAGGGAGGCTTCGCGTGTTTTATTTATTTATTTATTTATTTATTTTTTTTTTTTAAAATTAATCAATTTATTGGGGCTCATACAATTCATCACAATACATAGATCAATTGTGTAAAGCACATCTATACATTTGTTGCCCTCATCATTCCCAAAATTCTCTTGCCTCTTGGGTTCCCGGAATTCGCTCATTTTCCTTCCCCCCCACCTTCCCTTCCTCCTCCCCTTTCCCCCATGCACCCTTAATAATTTATAAATTATTTTTGTATCTTACATTACACTGTCCGGCGCCTCCCCTCACCCACCCCGCTGCGCCCGTCCCCCAGAGAGGAGGCCATACGCGGCTCCCTGTGATCCATTCCCCCTTGCTACCTCCCGCTTCCCTCCTGGTATCGCCACCGTCGCCCCCGGTCCCGAGAGGCTCCTCCGTCCTAGATTCCCTGCGCTTCCAACTCCCATCCGCACCGCTGTGCATCATCTGGTCTAACCAGGTCTGCAAGGCGAAACTGGGGTCCTGGTAGTTGGGGGGAAGCGTTCAAGAACTAGAGGAAGGTTGTGAGTTTCATTATTGCTATACTGTACCCTAAGTAACTTAGGCTTCGCGTGTTTTAAATAGCCCCGACAGAGAAGCCAGAGCAGCGTATTAACAATCTTCATGCATTAAAATTTTGAAGCATAATGAGACTCATTTTATTCTCTAGATGATGTGGGTTTGAACTAAAAAACAAATCTTGATTTCCAGTGCAGAGAGTAAAAACATCTCCGAAAGGAGGGCTCCCATTCTTTTGAGATATATAAGAAAATTGCTGACTGCAATGCTCTGGATTGGTCTAAAAATAGTCTTTTTCCATACAGGAGTGTAGATTACTCGACACCTTAGTTCCATTTTAACCCTAACGTTTGAAGTTTCTAATTCTGTGTTCAGTTTAGAATTTGCTTTGTTTGATGGCTAAAAACATAAATTGTAACATGATTCCCCATTCCATCCCCCACCCCACAAACATGTTCCTCTTTCAGGGATCCCTATCTTAGCAAATGAATACAATACTATGCATAAGTCAGGAACCTAAAAATTATGAGCTTATTCATTTTTTCTAATCAATTATTTACTGGGGGTTTGCCATTGTTCTGTATATTGAAGGCATAGCTGGGAACAAGTCAAATAAGACTCCTGTTTCATAGACTTACAGTGTGTCTGGAAGGAGCCCGATAACAAACAAACAGAGAGCATTCAGGAATGCCTTATCCAGTAGATAATATTTCATCTGAGACCTGGATTCAAAGAAGGAACTGGGCACATGGAGAGTTAGAACAAGCTCTGTAAGTGGAAAGCCTAGGAAGTATATAGACCCTAGAGTGAGAGTGGTCTTTCCTTCGACTGTCTGGGCAGACTGAAGTGAGAGAAGGGGACAATGATGTAGATGAGGTTGAAGAGCTAGGCATGCTCCAGATCACATAGGCATTTCTGACTGTGAGGAGTTTCCATTTCTTTTCATTTTCCCATTTTCACAGTTTTAAGAGAATAATGACATTATCTAGCTAACAGAGTGCTTACTATATTCTAGGCACTATTCTAAACACTTCATGTTACCTTATTTAGATTTTGTAGCAGCTCTGTAAGTAATAACATTATTCCCACTTAAAAGACTATGATGTCTCCTATGGTGATTTACATTTTTATAATTCTCTTTTTTAAAAATACAGACTATCCTTTGCATGGATTTTGAGAGTAGAGTTTTATGAATTTTGGCCGAGATATACCCATGTGATCCTCACTCCCAAAAGAAATTGTCCCTCGGGCTACTTTGAGATACCACTTCTCATACTTGCCCCAGAGGGAATCAGACTCTGATTCCTGCCGCCACTGTGGGTTAATTTTATCTGCTCTTGAACTTCATATAAATGAATTCATATGGATCTTTTAAAAAACAATTTTCTTGGGGGCTCATGTGGATCTTTTATATTTGGCTTCTTTCACTCATACCCTCAGGACTCACTTTGTTGCTGCATTTAACCATAGTGGATTCTTTTGACAGATGTGTAGTATTCTATTGTATGAGTATGTTTTAATTTGTTTATCCTGCTTATGGATATGGTTAGCCAGTTAATGGATATTTGAGTCATTTCCAGTTTTTAGCTCTTAAGGACAAGGCTGCTGTGAACATTTTTGTATAAGCCTTTTGTGCATATACTTTGAATTCTCTTCAGTAAAAACCTGCAATTGCTAGGCCATATGATAAACTTTATAAAAAATTGTCAAATAGTTTTCCATGTGGATGTACCATTTTACACTTCCACAAACCATATAGGAAGTTCTGCCTTATATTTTAAACAACATTTCTGATTGCTGAATTGCAATGGCGTAAGAGAGTGTAAAGGAGCCCTGGTAGTGTAATGGTTATGCTTTGGGCTGCGATCCTCAGGGTCCTTATTCGGAAACCACCAAGTGTTCCAGGGGACAAAGATGAGGCTTTCTACTCCTGTAAAGAATTACAATCTCAGGAACTCACGGGGCCAGTTCTACCCTGCCCTTTAGGGTTGTCGTGAGTCAGAATTGACGCCATGACAGTGAGTTTGGTGTTTTGTTTTTTGAAGAGAGTGAAAACAGAGTGAAATTAAGAGACTGCCGCATAGCTCAGGTGAGAGGTGATGATGACTTGGATAGTATGGAAGAGAGGAAGAGAAAAAGGGTCTTGATAAACTGAATGAAATAAGAAAGAAAAGTGAAAGGGTGAAGTACTGATGACATCTAAGTAACTACCTAAGCAACTGGGTAGCTAGTAGTGCCATTAACGGAAATTAAGGGTTAATTGAGGGATGGAACAAATTGAAGGAGTTGTGATAACGAAGAGTTATGGTTTGGAGGTAGGTTTAAAAGACATTCAGATCCAACGCTCTGGACCAACAACCCCTCCCTAAACTCACAGCCTACAAATCAATGCCGACTCACAGCAACCTTACGGACACGGTAGAACTGCCCCTGTGCGTTTCGGAGGTTGTGACTCTTTACTGGAGTCAAAAAGCCCCATCTTTCTCCTGCAGAGTGGCAGGGAGTTTCAAACTGCAGTCTTTGCAGATCGCAGCTCAGTGCTGCACCACTACACCACCGGACCACGTGGAAGTGTCAGACGTCATTGGATATGCATGCGTGGCGTTTAGGAAAGAAGTCTGGCCTGGAGATGTAGTTTGTCAATATTTAGAGGGAACCTAGCAGCATAGGAAGGAAAGCTGATGGCACTGCTTAAAGCACTTGACTGCTAACCAAAATGTTGACATTTTGAACCCACTTGAGGGACTACAATGGCAGTCTACTTCTGTAAATATTGACAGCCTTGGAAGCTCTTATGGGGGCAGTTCTACTCTGTCCGATAGGGCCACTCTGAGTCAGAATGTACTACTGGCAGTGGGTCTTGGGTAACATTATAGGACTGGATGGGACTACTCAGAGAGCATTGTTGAAAGAAAGGCAAAGAACCTACCACATGCCCTTCAGCCCGCTGGCATCCAGAAATCTAGCAGCAGCAGAAGAATCAGCAGTCTTGAGCAGAAGGAAAGGCAGAAAGGTGTGGTGTCAAGGAAGTAACAGCTCGAAAATGTTTCAAGAAGGAGGTGGTATCCAGTTATGTTGAAGATGCTTAAAAAGTTGAGAAGAATGACAATAGGGAAGTGATTTTTTAATTTTTACACTATGGCGATCACTGGTGATCTTGATGAGCAGCTTTGATGAAGTGGCAGAATCAGAATTTACCTTTGATATGAATACAGAGGTTAGAAAATTGAAATATGCATAGCTATCTCTTTCCAGAGATGTGTGCGTGTGCGTGTGTGTGTGTGTGTGTGAGAGAGAGAGAGAGAAAGTGAGAGAGAAGGAACTGATAAAAGAAACAGTAGTTGGAAGAGAATATGGGAGGCAAGGAAAGTTGTATTCCAAAGCTTGATATTTCTTAATCTCTTTCCTACTCTCACCAAATTTAAAACATCACTAAATTCTATTAATTTTATCCTATAAATCATTTAAATGCATTCATTTATCTCCATTACACCTGCCACCACCCTAATCATCCTCTACCATAAACTACCGCAGCAATAGGTCTAAGCGACTCCCTATTTTCATTTAATCTCTTCTCTACAATTCCGCCAGACATACTTCAAGGGCAAATCTTATCACAACCTGTGTCTTCATCCCACCACCATTAGATACTTAAAGATCTTCCTGCTTTTAGGAAAAAGATTAAACAACACGACTTATAAATTCCTGTATGATCTACCTCTGTATACTCCCCAATTTAATCTCCCCTCTCTTCTATTTTTTTCTGTGCTTCTGCTACATTGTCTTAATCTGGCCACGAAGCCTTTGAATGTGCTATTCTCTTTGTCTAACATACTCTTTCCCTCACATCTTCCCTTCTAAACCACACTCTGACTAATCACCATTGCTATTTCTTCAGCCATGTCTTCCTCAGGAACGTCTTCCCTGCCCGCTCCAACCAGGCGGATTCCCTTTGTCATATACTCATCTGACACCAGATAACTTTTCTAAATGTTGCACAATTGTACATTTTCATTTGCTTGTGGTTATTATATTAACGTTTGTCTTCCTTCTTGATGTCGAAGCTCCTTGAAGGCAGTGACTGTAACCCTGGCACAGAGTACAGACTCAGTCACTTATTTAAGTGAACTGAATAAATGATTCCTAATTCTCAACACTTCACTAAGCAACATAGTATAATCTCCTAACATACCTTGGAAGCTTGCTAGCACCTGTGAAAAAGAGATGCAATGGACATAACGTTTTAAATACTTAATTTTAAAATGACCTTTTGAAACTATGTTCCTTTATACCCAACTATCTGTCTTTATCCAGCTGAGATTTACTTCCTGCTTCATTATTTTTACTCCTCTCTCACATGTCTTTGGTTACATGGTTAATTAAAAATCACAAATATTATTCCATTGTAAACCATCAGACTCAATTCTATTTCCACCCACCTTTTGCCAGAAATTATTTAATGGCAAGACTGACTATTGCATTTCGTTTCATTTCATCAACCATGAACAGTAGATTTATGAAGAAGCTAATTAACATTAGCATCAACTATTATTTTACAACCAGAAAGGATATCAAAGACTCCTGATTAAGCTCCTAACTGGATAAATTAATCCTACATAAGAAGTAGCCTAACTTATATTTTATGAATGAGATAGTCATAATAAAATCAGTTAGCATTTGGGAAGGAAATTTAAAAGTTGAATTTCGCTTTTAAGAAGAATTATGTGGTAATATATCCTTATGTTTAAGAATTATGTGTTAATATATCCTTATTTTTAAGCTTTTATATATAAGTATTGAAAAATAGAGTAACTTAACTGGTTTACATTCTAATTTGTGTTTAATAATACTCTTTATAAAATATTTTTCAGAGAAATATTTCAAAGTTCCAAATTAAAAGCAACTGATGAGAGATGCAGGCAAAGACCATCCAAGGCAAAGACTAACTCTAGTTCTCATTGTATTTTTATTTCACGAAACTTTCATACTGGAAGCTTCCAATCACAGGTAGGGATTAATATTCCACAGCAATATTTTTAGAGAATTTCTTTTAACACCATGTCATATTAACATTGTTTTTAAGTTTGAAAACCATAATGTCTATATATATCTAGTCTGAAAACCAGTGTTCCCCATTGTGGGCTTATTTTAGGATGAAGATGTGAGCAAAATATAATGAGCAAATGTTGTGTGGAAAAGTGAAAAAAATTGTCATATGTGTCAGAGATCCAGAGATTGGAGTTATTCAAACTATTTAATCGATTCATTAAAGATTTATTAAGCCTTGATTATATGCCAGGATATGTGCCTCCCTATGGGGGGTAGGAAATATGGTCCCTTCCCTCAAGGAACTTGTGTAGTATACAAGTGGGAGAGGTAATAATAACTTATTATATGGTAAGTGTCAAAACAGTGTTAAGTGAACAAATTAAACAAGATAAAAACCAGTAGAAATTTTAAACCAGGATATGGCTAAATAAGCAAAAAAAGCAGTTCAATGATCTTATATCATTAATAGATAGTTTCCTATACATCTTGAATACTTAATTCTTTGCTCATTAATTTGCTAAACAAACATCTACTAATATCTCATATATGGTAATGCTAATTTAGGCTCTCACCTACTACCAACAAGTTAATGCCAACTCATAGCAACCCTAAAGAATAGGGTAGAACCTCTCCTGTGGGTTTGCAAGGCTGTAAATCTTTACAGGAGCAGAAAGTCTCATATTTTTCCCAAAGAGAAGTGGTAGATTCAAAATACTGACAGTAGTTAGCCATCCACTAACTCACCAGGGAGTCTAGACAAAAACAAAACTCATTGCCACGGAGTGGATTCCAATTCATAGGGAACCTATCAACAGGTAGGACTTTCTCATGTGGGCTTTTGAGCCGGTAGAACATTACAGAAACTTCAGCCAGTGGAACTGTACAGAAACAGAAAGGCTTTCTCCCACTTGATCAAACATGCTGCCAATCATTCTCCCAAGAAGCAGCTGGTGGGTTTGAATTGTTGAGCTTCTGGATAGAAATCTATCCTGGGGTACACTATTCCACCAGGGCTCTAAGTGTAGACCAGGGAACTTAAGTGGAGGAAGGCCTTACAGAAAAGGGGATCTTTGGGTGATGCAAACTCTTAGCTGTGAACCAAAAGATCAGAAGTTTGAATCCACCAGAGGTGCCTCAGAAGAAAGACCTGACATTCTTCTTCTGAAAAATCAGCCGTTAAAAACCCTCTGGGGCACAGTTGTACTGTAATAGACATGGATTCACCGTGAATTGGAGTTGACTTGGCAGTAAGTGGTAATTGGAATGTGGGATATATGAAATATGATTCTAGAACAATTGCAGATGTCAAAAAGGAAATGGAACACATATAAACCAATATCCTAGACATTGGTGAGCTGGAATGAACTAAGTGTTTTAGACACTTTGAATCACCAATTAATATGGTTTATAAGGGAGGGTAAAGGGAGAATGGGTAGGAAAGAGGGAACCGATTACATGGAACTGTGTGTGACCTCCTCCCTGGGGGACAGACAACCGAAAAGTGGATGAAGGGAGACGTCGGACAGGGCAAGATATGACAAAATACCCATTTATAAACTATCAAGGGCTCATGAGGGAGGAGGGAGCGGGGAGGGAGGGGAAAAATGAGGACCTAATGTCGGGGGTTTAAATGGAGAGAAAATGTTTTGAGAAATGATGTACAAATGCGCTTTACACAATTGATGTGTGTATGGATTGGGATAACAGTTGTATGAGCCCCTAATAAAATGTTAAAAAAGAAAAAAAATATGGTTTATAACGCTGGGAATGACAAATTCAAACTAAATGGTATCACATTCATCATAAAAAAGGAATATTTCAAAATCTATCTTTAAGTACAACATTGTATGTGATAGGATAGTATTTATCTGCCTACAAGGAAAACTAGTTAATATAATTATCATTCAAATTTGTACACCAAATTTGTACACCACCCATTAAAGTCAGTGATGAGGAAATGAAAGAATTCTATCAAATTGTTCTGTCTGAAATTGATCAGTCTGAAACCCAATCAAGATGCATTGATAATCACTGGCAGTTAGAAATGTGATAATGGAAAAAAAGTAGAAGGATTAGCAGTTGGAAAACCAGGCTTTAGTGGTAGAAACAAAGCTTGGGGTTGCAGGATAGAATTTTGGAAGACCAATAACTTCTTCATTACAAATGTATTTTTTTAACACTGTAAGTGGCATCTATACATGTGCATCTCACCAGATGGAATACCCAAGAATCACATTGATTACATCTGTCATAAGAGAAGATGGAGAAACTCAATATTATCATCCAAAACTAGGCCAAGGGTCAACTATGGAACAAGGCCATCAATTGACAATATGCAAACTTAAGTTGAAGCTCAATTTAAAGCAAATTAAATTAAAATTAAAACAAGTTCACGGGAGCCAAAATATGACATTGAGTCTATCCCACCGGAACTTAGAGACCATCTCAAAACCAGTTGTGATGCGTTAGGCACTAAGGACAGAACCCCAGATGAGCTGACAAGAACATCACACATGAAGAAAGCGAAGGGTCGTTAAAAAGACAGTCACAAAAGAAACATCAAAGTGAATGTCAGAAAAGACTCTGAAATTTGCTCCTGATCACAGTGCAGTTAAAGCAAATGGAAGGAATGATGAAGTAAAATCTAAACGCAACACTTCAAAGGGCAGTTCAAGAAGACAAAGTATTATAATGAAATGTGCAAAGACCCAGAGTTGAGAAATGAAATGGGAGAGCAGACACAGCAGATTTCAAACTTGAAGAATTGCTTCAGGTTCAAATATTTAGGAATTCTGTCGGCAAAATATTGAATGATGTTGCTATTGCTGCTGTTAGATGTCATTGAGATGACTCCGATCCACGATGACTTATGCACGACAGAATGAAACAAGACCTGCTCCCTGAGACATCCTCGCATTTGTTCCTATGCTAGAGCCCATTGTACGGAATGATGGAGGAAACATCAAAACGGATAGAAGAAGATACAGGAAGACGTCCAAGCTGCATTGACGTCATTAGCAAAAAACAAGCCTTCAGGAATACCAATAGGAATGTTTTCACAAACCGAGGCAGTGCTGAAAATATTCACCAGTCTATGCCAAGAAACTGGAATTGGTCACCCGGATTGGAAAAAAATCCATATTTGTACCCACTGCAAAGAAAGGTGACCCAACAGAATAGGGAAATTATCAAACAATATTATAATATCACATGCAAATAAATTCTTGCTGAAGATAATTCAAGCAGCTGCAATAGTAGCTATCAGAAATTCAATTGGGTTTCAGAAGAGTATGTGAAGTGAAGGATATGACAGATGATATCTGATGTCAGATGGGTCTAGACTGAAAGCAGAGAATATCAGAAAGCTGTTTATTTGTGTTTTATTGACTATGCAAAGGCATTCTATTCCATGGCTCATAACAAACTATGGATAACATTGTAAAGAATGGGAATTCCAGAACACTTCATTGTACTCATCCTGAGCTTGTACAGAGATCAAGAGGTAGTTGTTTAAAAAGAAAAGGGGATATGATTTGTAAGGAACCCTGATGGCATAGTGGGTTACACATTGGGTTGCTAACCACAAGGTTAGAAGTTCAAAACCACCAGCCTATGTACAAATGTGTTTGATACAATTGATGTATGGATTGTTATAAGAGCTGTAAGAGCCCCCAATAAAATGACATTAATAAAACAAAAAACTACCAGGCACTCTGCGGGAAAAAGATGAGACTTTCTACTCCCATAGTTACAGCCATAGAAACCCATAAGGGTAGTTCTACTCTATCTTAGAGGGTTGTTGAGTCGGAATCGGTTTTTTGAGTTTGAATGACTGTGTTTCTTTGTCATTTGGGGGATGGGCTCTGTTATATTTTGTAATTGTTGGTAGCTTCTTACTCTCTGTGGTTGTCTCTGTTTTTCAGTATGTGAAACCTAGGGGAGGTAACAACAACTAGAATAAGGGTTCCTGAGGGGTATGGCACAGGGTAAGGGGGGGCTGACATCAAGGGGTTCCAAAAGTAAGAACGTGTTTTAGAACTGACTGTAATAGTGATTGTACAACACTGCTTGCTATGATTAACTACAGGATGGTGTGATGTCTGAACTAGCTCCAAATAAAATGGTTTGGGGGAAAAACAAACAAACAGGAAAGGTGTTGTATCCTTGACCAAATTTATCTAATCTATGCTGAGAAAATAATCTGAGAAAATAAATGTACTATATGAAGAAGAATGTGGCATCAAGATTTGTAGACGTTTCCTTAATAATCTGTGGTATGCAGTTTATAGATTATAACTCAGTACAAACCAAAACAAGACCGAACTCACTGCTGTTGAGTCGACCCTGACTCATAGGCAGCGTCTATAAGACAGAGTAGAACTACCCCTGTGGACTTCTGAGAGTATAGATCTTTTTTTTAAATTTAAATATTATTTTATTGGGGGCTCTTACAGCTCTTATCACAATCCATGCATATATCCATTTGGTCAAACATATCTTTACATATGTTGTCATCATCTTTTCCAAAACATTTCTTTCTACTTGGGCATCAGCTCCTCATTTTCCACCCTACCTCCCCCATGCCTCCTTAATAATGTATAAATTATTATTTTTTCCTTCATGCTTTATACCAACTGCTGTTTCAATTCACCCATTTTTCTGCTGTCCGTCACCCTGGGATGGAGGTCATACTTCGATCATTGTGATCGGTTCCCCCTTACTCCACCCCCATCCTAGTTGTGATACCTCCTAGTAAGCTCCCCTTATTGGTCTTGAGTGGTTTATCTGTTCTGGATTCCCCGTGTTTCAAGCTCTTATCTGTACCAGTATACATGTTCTGGTCTAGTCAAACTGGTAAGATAGAATTGGGGTCATGGTAGTGGGGGGGGGGGAGGAAGTATTAAAGAGCTAGAGGAAGGTTGTGTGTTTCATTGGTGTCATACTGCACCCTGACTGGC